CTACCAGGAATGCATTGTATTACGGAGACACGTGAAGAAATAAGACAAGCTGCACGATTCAATTCATCTCGTACTTGTGCAATCAGGAAGACATTGCGATCCATCGAAGAAGAATGCGACTGCTCTATCGCACGTGCATTCACATCTGAACCCATTTGTTAGTTTCTTTTCCATTAGCTGATCGTTTACGTCTCTTTTCCTTTCTCTTTCGTTTACTATTCTTACATTTTTCGACGCAGTTCGGCATGAGGGGGCATTTTACATTTTCGCTACTCCCCATTGTCCTGTCGAGCCATCAAGCGGAGAGCCATGAAGAAGCCATGAAGTGATACCAGTCAAAGTTTATAGAAACTTCTTGTCAACTCTTGAGAAGGATACTGTCATTTGAAGCAATGAATACGACAGCGGGAAACAACAAAACTGCAAAATACCCCTCCCCTTTACCGCACTGCGCCAACTCTCGTACTGGATATTGCACTTACCTGTTGCTTGTACACTCCATGGAAAAAGTTGGTCGAAATACCAGAAAAGCTACCATGAGAGAATTGTTTTTCATTGTTGGGACCAAAACCTTCGAAAGGCTCCCATGCAAAGAGGGTGAAGGGCCTTTTTCTGCGAAGCCAATTTCTGTGCGTCCACTAGACTACCAAAAAAGGCATTCCTTGCTGAGCGCATGAGCAGACCACTTGAGAAAATTTGCGCTCCTCCTAGGTAGGTTTTGTTTTCTAAAGCGCTAGAAAGAGGTACGAATGTGAAGGATGCCATGGTCCAGAAAGCTCGTTCCTATGGTCTGCCTTTAAAATACCTTGAGTGGCCTGAAATCTCCTTAGGGAGCGCTTGAGGGCCAGGTAGAACGCGATTAGGGAGCTTCATGAGCAGCCACGTAAATACAGTCATGATCCCTGCAAACGATAGGGCGTCTGACGGGTGGATGGCTTGGAGCGCAGCTAGACCAGGTTGTCAGCAGCTGTAGCGAGACCAGGAAAGCAAACGGACCTTTTTGGCTGCGATCCTATACGCGCCGCGTCAAACGCCTTATCTTTTGCAGAGAACATGACTGTAGCTTCAAAGCCCCAGGTCCAGACCCGTGAAGAAACCAGTGCTTTGGAAGGGTTAACGAGCCTGGACTGGAATGGATCCCGCCGCCTTGGACCCTAAACGTGTGAAGCGACACTTTACTAACCACGATAACTCAGGTTATAGAATTGACCTGGCTCCTCACTCTTGTGAATTCTCTGAAAATTCAGCGCATCATAAATCGTGCAATGTGGACGACTATTTTGGATGTGTACGTGGAGTAGTCGATAAAACAATGGAAAGAGGCTCCGACGGCGAATGCTTGCCCAGTTGCGAAAGTGTAGACTATATCGCTTGGCAGGTATCTTTTTTTTCAAGAGCGAACTAAATAATTGCCATTCACTGAGGACATTCCATTGGTTAGAGCTAGAGCTATGTGTAATTAATTGCGCCGCCTTTGGGAGTTTCACGGCACACTACACTCCGCGCTGGTCGTATGGGCGGGTCCGGGTCTAGTACTGCACCTTGATCCTCAGTGCGCTCTCTTTTCTGGAACGGTAGGGAGGGCCGGTGCAAATGACGCGAGCATGATTCAGGCCCAACTCCGCCTATGCCATGAGCGTGGAGTGGGTCCTGAAGTCAGAAGGTTCAAAAGGCTATTTTCTGTGTTCTGCCTACAAGCACACCCAACAGTTGCGCGCTTACTTCTGTAAACGCATTCTTAATCGCTTTGAAATATTCAGGATATGAATATACTTCCACAACATCTCATGCCAGCTCTCATCGAAGGACATGAGGAAGATGACGAAGAAGAGGTGGAGCAGGATGACATCGAAGAAGATGTGAGCGACATTCCTCTAGTATGTTTGCGCTTGGCAACATTTTAATGCTTTTT